GTACGTTTGCTGTTGTATTAAAGTTTTTCTTCATTACCCATTCAAGCCGTCTACAGCCATTATAGCACTACTTTGTTCCGGAAACTGGTTCACGGTCTTCTAGTTAATGGAATGTAACATTTCGTAACCTAAAAGTGGGCCAATGCCAGGATGAAGGACACAAAACCAAAACCTGCATGTCTTTCATAAGGTGAATGAAATCAGTAATCAACTCATGACCACTGTTTTATTAAACACCTTATTAGGGATTGTCACCACTATCCGTTAAATGTGAAAGCGGAATGCTAGTTACCATTCGTGCAATCTAAAAATTGAGCTTGTTTTAGTCAAATTGTATATATGAACGAAAAAGCAAATTTGTGCACGCGGAAAACTTTTGGCGCTATTCTAGTATCAAGGAAACACAATATTCATAAATTTAGAGTATTCGTTAGCATAACATTCTGAAAAGTTTTGCTCCTGTAGTTGTCCTTGTTCTCGTTTTTATGTACTCTTAAATGACAGAGGAAAACTAGGTATGCGGATATTTTCAATTGTTATTGTTTCTTGCTGTTGTTTTTTAAAAATAAATACATTTAATTCTGTTCTCTGTATGTTGGGGCGCCCCCCAGTGCCACAGCGGTATGTCTGCGGACTTACAACGCTAAAATCCGGGTTTCGATACCCGTGGTGGGCAGAGCACAGATAGCCCATTGTGTAGCTTTGTGCTTAATTACAAACAAACAAACAAACTGTATGTTGGGCTTTTTGATACTCTAGAAGTGTTTGTACTGGGATGACACTCTTCATAATTTTTTATATCAGAGCGCAAACAAAACTTCGATTTTTTTTCTATCTTTAATTTGATACACTTGTGTTTTTTTACAGTTTGGACTGGAATTATTCTTTAACAAATGTAGCGAATATTTGTTTGAAGTTAAGCACAAAGCTACACAATGGGCTATCTGTTTTCTGCCCACCACGGGTATCGAAACCCGGTTTCTAGCGCTGTAAGTCCCTCATTGGGGGTCGTAGCGAATTGTACATTGCACGAGGACAAAACAGAAACTTTATAATGGATTTGTATTGAATTTGGTGATAAACTAGTCATCATTAAAAACTTTATCAAGTAGGTACATAGCGTATTGATAAATAAATCATTCTGTGAGCTACTAGTAATAAATTTTTAAAATAACGTTTTATTACTACAACACATAATGATATTATAAAATTTGTATTTTACCATAAACAAGTAAATATTAGAATGAACAATATTAATGAAAGCAGCTTAGAGGTGAACACAATGGAAACTTAACAACTCGACTTTTCTAAAGAAAAAAATTCGTATTTTTTGTGCGACTCAGTGTTTTCATACTGGACCGTGTGTGACCTAATGATTGGTTTATGGCTCGCAACCAGTACCAAAACATTGCACTCCGCATTTTGGAGACATGAGTGTGCTCTAAGAGGCGATGGTCAAATCCCACTATGCGATCAGACGAGAGCAGCTTAAGAGTTAGTGGTTGGTGCTGTTGACTAGCTGCTTTCCCTCTAGCCTTTTAGTTCAAAATTAGGGACTTCTATACGTAGAATAGCAGTAGCTTTACACAAAATACTGAAACAAAAACAATAATTCATAGAGATATACTGTTGAATTGATTTTATGTGTCGTCAGGAAAAAACTCACAAATGTTTCAGGTACATAAATATTGGTAGCCATTATTAACTATTTTATTAAATTGAAAACTAAAAAAATAACTCGTGATTCACTCAGTGTTTTCTATATTTAAAACCTGATACAGAGAAGCCCACCCCTCCCAATGGCTCAGTGGTAAGTCTGAAGGCTTATAACGCTAAAAACTAGGTTTCGATACCCGTTGGCTTATAACACTAAAAATCGGGTTTGGATACCCATGGTGCGCACAGAGCCCATTGTGTAACTTTGTGCTTATCAACAACAACAACAAAAATATATAAAGAGCTCCAAAAACTAAACACCTCATGCAGGGAAAACAGTTCAAGGTATTCAAAACCTTAATAGAAAGTTTTATCTCCAAATAATCATGTTTTGAAAACCTTTAGAAGTATTACTTAATTAAATTTCAACTCATTTATTACTTGCTCTTAGAAATTCTGATTTGGTTTTCGTCACTTTCTATTTTTTAACTTTTTTTTTAGTTTATTGCTACGACGTATATTTTTCAAATATTGTACAATCTACATTTTGTAATTAGTAATCATTTTGTCATGCATGGAGCGAGTACTCCTGTTCTACAGTAAGTTGGCCCGGTGGTTAGCGTGCCAGAATATGAATCTGCGGGTCCAGTGTTCGCATAACGTTACTGTCAAAGCTAAGTAAAAAAATCTCACATCGCATTTTGGAGCCGTAGGTGTGTTATAAGGATAACGGTCAATGCCTTTATTCGGTGAGACAAGAGTAACCCAAGAGCTCCTGTTAGGTGTTGTGGATTAGCTGTCTTCCCTCTAGTCTATCAATTCGAAATGCGCAGGTATCCGAAAACGATTCTTCTCCACACATACCTTGGTTTTGA